TCTCGCACTTTGAAGAGAACTTAGGTATCATTTTTTAAGGAAAAAGAACTAGTGCAAGGGTTTTGCAAAAACTTTACTTAACATGCAAACATAAATAGTTTTGCATTTAAATCTCCATCGCACAAATAGCACCCAAAATAATATTACAAAAACTTAAGCGGTGAGGTGAAAAGGTTATATTAAACTTAAGATATTATTGCATTGTATTGTCATTTTGGGTCACGGACCCCAACATAGTATAAGGGTTAAAAAGATCACAAGGAAACGGGAACGCTGCTAGTGGTCAGTTAAAGCAATTTCTAAGTAAGATCACCGAAGTACTTCCAAATGCCTGACATATGTATAAGTATGTACATATGTATGCATATTACAATGCATCACTCTCCATACAAAAAAAAATTAGTAATCATTTTCCATTGGAAATGACAAATCTATTATATTTTAAGACTTGCGCCAAAATATTTGAGAAAAATATTAAGATTTACGTGAGCTGGACCGATTTAGGAATAATCCCAAAAATGGAGTTTTTTATGACTAAAAATAGCTTTTTAAATATGTTGTGAAAAAATCACCCCAGATGACAACGACAGTTTAAGCTTAAAAAATTTGCATACAAATATTTAAAAAATATGCCAACGGAATCATAATGATGAGATCTTTGATGCTGTTTTTGAACTTTTTCAAAGATTGGTGTAAGAAATATTTGAATACCGCAGCCAAAACTTTTCCGAGATAGACTTATGAGGTATCATTGGAAAGGTATTTTCTCGCCCATTTTATGAATTTTCAAATAAACTCATTCACGTCCCAATTTTTTGTTTGCAACTATGTAGTGTTGATATTCCACCTGGAATGACGATCGTTCATCTTAACTTTCTCTTTAACAGTTTGAGTAAGTTTATTTGAAAAGAAACAAAAAGGGTGAGAAAATATCTATTCTAAATAGGTATAGGCTTGCCCCAGTTATTCAAGTTTTTCTTTTACCAATCTTTGAAACATGTTCAAAGACAGCATCAAAAATCTCATTACATATCATGATTTCGTTGAAATGTTTACATATTTTTTTGGAAATTGTGTGTATTTTATTCAAAAAATTCTTAAACATTTTTTTTTATTCATAAAAAACTCCATTTTCGGAGGCATTTTCAAATCGGCCCAGCTCACGTAAATCGAAATATTTTTCCGATATATTTTGGTGGAATTATTTGATTATAATAAATTTTGTAATATCGGCGGAAAACCCGCACCTTTTTTTTTGGTGATGCAGTCTAATCTACATACATACATATTTTAAGTAAATAAGTACACAAATATTTGTCAATTACTTTTAGTCACTAATGTATGTACCTAAGTAAGATATATTATTTTTTAAGTACACTACATAAATATGTATGCATGTATATGGAGTACTAAGCACTATAAGTATATCCCTAGTAAAAGTCATAATTCGTGTACATTTTATAACTGTTGCTTTGATTCATTTGTCATTGTATATACATATATACTATATAAACTATACACATATGAATGTACATGGGTATGTAAGTACTAATGTATATGTATATAAGTAAATGTAATTGATCAACTAAGTTATTTATTTTGCTATTTGCTTATATAAGCCTTTCTTCCATTTATTAATACTTGAGAGTATACTCAAATTATATGAGTCATACATACATGCTTACATACATATGTAAATATTTGGGAATTTTGGGACTACAGCTATGTATGCAATCACTAGCAACTTACATGTTTTGTTGTTGTATATTACCAACAACCAGTTCTAAAAACTACTTGGGTTCGCACTAATGACAGTTTTAATATTTAAAGCACATTTTTTAATTTACAATAAAAGTAGTAATTACTTAAGCAAATAAATATGTACGCATACATGTACATATATATGTATGTGTGATTCCATATTGTAGATATTAATTATATGTAGCAAGTAGAAACACTAAATAGAGTTTANCAAAATTTTTTTTATTCATAAAAAACTACATTTTCGGAGGCATTTTCAAATCGGCCCAGCTCACGTAAATCGAAATATTTTTCCGATATATTTTGGTGGAATTATTTGATTATAATAAATTTTGTAATATCGGCGGAAAACCCGCACCTTTTTTTTTGGTGATGCAGTCTAATCTACATACATACATATTTTAAGTAAATAAGTACACAAATATTTGTCAATTACTTTTAGTCACTAATGTATGTACCTAAGTAAGATATATTATTTTTTAAGTACACTACATAAATATGTATGCATGTATATGGAGTACTAAGCACTATAAGTATATCCCTAGTAAAAGTCATAATTCGTGTACATTTTATAACTGTTGCTTTGATTCATTTGTCATTGTATATACATATATACTATATAAACTATACACATATGAATGTACATGGGTATGTAAGTACTAATGTATATGTATATAAGTAAATGTAATTGATCAACTAAGTTATTTATTTTGCTATTTGCTTATATAAGCCTTTCTTCCATTTATTAATACTTGAGAGTATACTCAAATTATATGAGTCATACATACATGCTTACATACATATGTAAATATTTGGGAATTTTGGGACTACAGCTATGTATGCAATCACTAGCAACTTACATGTTTTGTTGTTGTATATTACCAGCAACCAGTTCTAAAAACTACTTGGGTTCGCACTAATGACAGTTTTAATATTTAAAGCACATTTTTTAATTTACAATAAAAGTAGTAATTACTTAAGCAAATAAATATGTACGCATACATGTACACATATATGTATGTGTGATTCCATATTGTAGATATTAATTATATGTAGCAAGTAGAAACACTAAATAGAGTTTAAAATTCACAGCTATTGGCTTGTGGAAGGGCACAGGTGAAAGGGTCCTTTCGGTAATATGTATGTATACATATTTACATAAAGATACATATATCCATAGTTTTCGCCTACCATAGCAGCGATTATTACGTAAGCTAATACTTACTTGCATTAAAAAGTCTAAAAGCCTGATTATCGTAACTTAACTTAACTTAACGGAACGTAGAACTTAGAGAATCAAAATGAAACAGATTTCGATGTGGCATTAAGTTACGTTAAGTTTCGGCTGTTCAATTATAAGCCACACCCATTTAACAGAATTTTTAAGAGAGAGCCGTAAGTTACGTTAAGTTGTCATAATCAGACCACATTTANTATAAACTATACACATATGTATGTACATAGGTATGTAAGTACTAATGTATATGTATATAAGTAAATGTAATTGATCAACTAAGTTATTTATTTTGCTATTTGCTTATATAAGCCTTTCTTCCATTTATTAATACTTGAGAGTATACTCAAATTATATGAGTCATACATACATGCTTACATACATATGTAAATATTTGGGATACTACAGCTATGTATGCAATCACTAGCAACTTACATGTTTTGTTGTTGTATATTACCAGCAACCAGTTCTAAAAACTACTTGGATTCGCACTAATGACAGTTTTAATATTTAAAGCACATTTTTTAATTTACAATAAAAGTAGTAATTACTTAAACAAATAAATATGTACGCATACATGTACATATACATATATGTATGTGTGATTCCATATTGTAGATATTAATTATATGTAGCAAGTAGAAACACTAAATAGAGTTTAAAATTCACAGCTATTGGCTTGTGGAAGGGCACAGGTGAAAGGGTCCTTTCGGTAATATGTATGTATACATATTTACATAAAGATACATATATCCATAGTTTTCGCCTACCATAGCAGCGATTATTACGTAAGCTAATACTTACTTGCATTAAAATGTCTAAAAGCCTGATTATGGCAACTTAACTTAACTTAACGGAACGTAGAACTTAGAGAATCAAAATGAAACAGATTTCGACGTTAAGTTTCGGCTGTTCAATTATAAGCAACACCCATTTAACAGAATTTTTAAGAGAGAGCCGTAAATTACGTTAAGTTGTCATAATCAGACCATAAGAGGGCCCACATGCACACATACATAAATATTTGTGTGTGTATGTATGTATTTACAATTCTGTTTATGCCATGGATCTGCTTTGCTCCTACGCTCTGCAGCTCAAATATGGGGATTGCAGCTATCTTGTATTTGTATTTACACACATATGTATATTTAATAGTTTGTATGTAAAACTCGTTGCATGCCTGCAGTTGNCATTTATGCCATGGATCTGCTTTGCTCCTACGCTCTGCAGCTCAAATATGGGGATTGCAGCTATCTTGTATTTGTATTTACATACATACGTATGTATATTTAATAGTTTGTATGTAAAACTCGTTGCATGCCTGCAGTTGTTAAAACTATTTCCTTTACATAAATATGTATGTATGTATTCAATGCTTTTTTGGCTTATTAATTTTGGTGTATATTTCTAACATAAAATCGTTTAATAACTTTTTCACTACACGATTTATTGATTATATGTATGTACTAGGCTATTTTGACTACTTAAATAATTGTTAGCATATAGTTATATCTATATGTATGCATATGCACATTTATTGTTTTTATACATACCATTTCCCTAGATTCTTTTTTCTTATCCCGTTTTATGGTTTATATGTTTGACTGGAAACTGAAGGTAGTTTTGCCCAAAATATATTTTTAAATATAACAATTAGTTATTCTTTCTATAATATGCCAACATACACACATATACATATGTATACCTGTGTTTTGTGTATTTTTTCACTAATTTGTGCTCGCTATGGATTTTTTTGTTTACCCTTTTGCTGTGCTGGATAGCGGCTTGTCCGCCAACGATAAGCTTTAAGCTTTACTTTTGCTATAATCCCTACACAAATATTACTAATACTACCCACAGTATAATGTATGTATGTATATAAACATATGTATATTTGTATGTTGGACCATCGACACTGGCTGGCGGTTTGAGTACCATTTTCAGAATTACCATCTGCGACCCTCTTCGGAGCTTTGCCATTCGGCCGATTGACGAGCANTAATCCCTACACAAATATTACTAATACTACCCACAGTATAATGTATGTATGTATATAAACATATGTACATTTGTATGTTGGACCATCGACACTGGCTGGCGGTTTGAGTACCATTTTCAGAATTACCATCTGCGACCCTCTTCGGAGCTTTGCCATTCGGCCGATTGACGAGCAGACATCCTTTTGGTATTGGTTACCGCATTTTATTTAATACTATTCAATATATATAATCACGGTCGCTTTTGTTGGTACCTCATTGCCAACAAATCAGACATCGGTTTCGTTGGAAGCGTAATGCTGCTGGTGCTGCTGCTGCTGCTGACAAGTTGCATCTGTCAAATTTTCACAGGACAGTTGTACTGCCGTCAACGCTGATGTGCCGGCGCTCGTTGTACTTGTATATTCGTTAGTGCTATGACATTTTGATTGGTTAAGTTGAGTCGAAAGTGCTGTATTCGGCGTATATCTTGCGATCGCAGTATTTCCTGGCGCATTGTGTAGCTGATGTGGGTTGACTGACGTAGACGTGGCCTGTATTTGAGGCCAGTTAAAGCTATTCTGTGATGTAATATTGCGAGTTTTGACTAGCGGCGGGTTCTTGGTGGAGGTAGAAAAGGCCATACCACGCCGAAGTGGGACCCTACTGTGACAAGCGTGAGAACAATAGAATGGGAAATCAATTCATTCATTTAAGTCTTAGATTCAAAGAAATATTATAATAAATATGGTAAAGCGTGTGGGCTCACCTCGTTGGACTAGGCGGTGGATACGAGATGCCTCTATGACTAGGCGATAGTAATAAATTACCCGAATGACTAGTTGTAGTGCCGGGCACCAGTAAAGTGTTATTACTATAAGTATAATATAGATTACTGCAGCAATTCAAATCCAAATCCGAAATTACAACGGTTGAACATTGAGCAGGGAACCGAAAAAAAGCCATGAATTAAAAAAAAAAATGAAAAGATAAAATATATGAAAAAGTAAATGAATGAAAAAAGATGTATTCGACACGTGAGAGGTGAAATAAATGTTTGTAATAAAAATGAATTAATGGCCCTTCAAGCAGATGAGATGTTAGTATGCAGCTTATTGAGCATAGCATAAGCAGAGCATTACGTAAGCGTCTTAAATTTCAAGAAAGGAGCACTCAACTAAATGCGTTAGAGCGCAAACGTAGTGAAAATCACACCCTAAACACGCATTTTTGTACATTTAAAATAAATGTGGTTTTATAGAAACCAGTCTCATGAAACGGCTATGAAATAAAAATGAGTGAATTACTTGCGTGAATACGAAACTAAACCTTAATGTATAGAACTTTGTAATTCACAGATGGAAATTATATGTAGGCTGCGTATGTGTTCGGACTTACGTATGGCTATGGTTGAGATTTAGATTCGGCAGACTCTGACCCAGGTGATTAAGTGGTTGTACAGAAAGTGTATTCGCCGAAGCGGTATTCACTTTTAGCTTAAGAGGAACGGATGTAAGATTTTTGCCTGAAGACATAATAAAAAAGTCATCATCAATCAACAGCTCATCATTTAGGCGGCTCAACACTTACCCATCGAACCATCTTCACTGGATAAAGAGTTAGTCTTTTCAAAGTCCACAGATATGTTGCGCGAATCATTCCACTCCACCGAACCGCTGTGACTATTGTTAGCGCTAGATACACGACTGCATATTGATGAATTCATTGGCGACTTTTTCACACCAAGGGAGTCGACTGTGCCAACACTTGGCCCACTTCCACCGAAACGCAAACTATCCCAATTGCCGGTACCCTGCTTCAGTCTCGTGTAGATCATTTTAGCACGTTTCAATGACTCATACCAATTCTTGGCCTCGGAACATTGTAGAGTGAATGCAGTTATGGCTACTTGAAACTCATTGAGGTAGACACAATTTAAAACGTTATTGTTTTGTTGCACGATGAGCCGATCTGTTAAGTATGGTTGCCGAATCACCTTGAGCGAGCCGAGACCACGCTTTGCAATTGCCTTGCAGACGAGCAGCATGTCGGTAAGCAGGAAACAGTGCACGTCGGCTTTGCCGAGATTGTCTTTGAATTTGTGGTCACCCTCCATGAAGAGATGACGCACCTGATGGGCGGGACAACCCTTCATGGGGGCACACAAATCGAACATTTGACTATATTGCTTTACCATTTTGTCCAGGTGTTCATTATTGGTATCCTAAAGATAGATTAAACAAAAAAGTGAACAATGATAAAAGTGGACTGTAGTAAATTGTAACTCTGCCGACTTACCACTACATCATAAGACTCAATGCGCGCCATAACACCCTTCAAACGTTCATTCTCTTGGCGGGTTGTCAAGTGATTATTTACACTAAAAACAAAATTCTCCACGGAATGAATCTGGAAGTGAACAGTAGTTAAAGTTAAATAAACATTGTAAGTATACCTTATAATCGACCTACCATTGTATCGACCGCTTCTACCAGTTCTACATCCGACATGTGTTTTTTTATCGCTGCCAAAAGAAGACTGTACTTCGTCAATCGTTGCATCGGCCGCACTATAATGTCAGCCAATCGTAGCCGATTACACATTTTTTGTGATTCGCACCAGGCCAAGTAAGAAGTGAAGAGCGCATTATTCCGATTTAGTTCCTTACAGTAGAACTGACAGGTACTCTGCTCGGCACAGTACTTTTTGTATGGTGCGAAGATGGAGGCAAAAGCAACGAAACCCTGATGGAAAAATGAGATGCGTAGTGGTTCGCGCGTGGCAATACTATGCGCCACCATTGGGTAGAGGTAAATTATCCAAAACTTGAGGTTTGCTTCGCATATGTCGCGCACATTCGAAAAGAGCCGATGCTGATCGACATCGGTAAGAAGGCGTTCCTCTTGCACCGCCTCCAAGCACGCAAGAAAGAGCTGTGGAAACAGAAATCAAACAACGTGAGGTACTGAAAATTGTCGAGAACTCTGCACAGAGACACTCACATCAGTCACCGTTTGCAGGGCGTGTATGTAGTACACTTCAGTGGTGACCAACTCCCAAATGGCAGTCTGTATTCTCGTTTCGTTGTCATTCATGTCGGCGCTGTCGACAATATCCTTCCACGATTTGTGCATGTTGTCTAAATATTCCAAGGCCGCATCGAAATCCGGATGATCGAAATTCAGCGAAGCTGTCTTTTGTGGTACACCATTCTTCGCGTAATTATTGAGTAGCTCGCATAGTTGACTCTGTTGCGGGTTTTTGATGCCGAACAGACCGGACCAGCGTTGTTTTAGCTGCTTCCCTGGCACAGCGGCCTCGCTGGTTTCTTCCGTCGATGCGGATGAGAGTAAACGGGGCGGACGAGTACGGGATCCCTAAGTAAACAATGCGTAGGAGCGGGTATTAATTAAAGCATTAAAAAGAACGTTTGCAATGGTATGGCTTACAAAGGAAGCAGCTTTTTGCAGTGTCTTCCGACTGCCATCTCGTTCAGTAATGATCAAATAGTGCCCTGCCAAGTTTTCCACGTCGGTATTTTCATCCAGCGAACTTGCCAGCGGAGAGTAGCCTGCCATAAAATATGCCTTGAGCTATTATAATTTGTTTATTATAAAATATAAATATACATTTGGTTTTAACAGTAGCCTAAGGTGTTTCCATCAGGCGAGCTTTGATTTTCAGAATTGGTTAAATTTTACCATTTAATTTTCAAATCACAAATTTTTCTGCTCCTGAATTTGTAAAGCACAAAAGTACTGGGGAGACGGCACCCAGTGGTCTGATTCTAACAGAACAATTCTGGCTAAGATAGTAAAAAGTCTTTTGTAAGACAATTGAAAGGCAGATGGCAAATAGTTCGAAAGACTTTTGTTATTCTAGTACAAAAGTCTTAAAAAATGTTCTCGCAATGGCCGAGTGAGCAAAGCACAGGCGTGCAGTTCGAAAGATCCGAGTTCGAACCTATAGCCTTTTTTTAATATTTTTTTTTTGTTTAATTTACATTTTTGCTCTTATAATTAAATTTTTAGGATCGTATTAATTTTTTTTTAAAGTAATTCTTTGTTTCTTTTTTGTTTAATTTTCTTTTAATTTTAACATTTTGTTAAAAAAATACTTTTTTTAATTTAATTTAATTTTTAAATACTACTGTTTTATTAAATTTAATTTTTTTCTTATATAATTTTTAGATTTATTANTATGGCTATGCGGTTTTTTAAGATTTTTTCGTTCTTAAACAAAACTTGTACAGATGACAAATTACTAAAAAATCGGAGCACAATTAGTACTTTTTGCCATATTTTATATGCGGCTCTTCCACTGTTGAGATGTTTGTTCTATTTTATTGTGTAATTTTGCCTCTGCCCTCAATCATTTACAGATGAATGCCCCACCTACAAAATAAACATTTGTATGTACTTACCAGTTTCCAAAAAACTGTTTGGTGGATTATTGTCGGTGATGGTGATTTGTGAGAAGCTCAGATTTCTCCGCTTCAGAGCTTGACTCAGAGCGCCGCTGCAAAGCAAATAAAGCAAGAAGGATATTAGCAGAACAATTAAAAGCGCGCCATACTTACTAAAGCGTTACACCCTTGGTTGCGGGAATGAATTCCTCTTCTTGGACGCCTTGATCAGTACAAAAACTCACAGAGAAATATTCAGAACTTGTGACCTGTAAAGAATTTCAGCGAGTTTTTTTTTTTTAGTATTTCAAGCAGTTTTTATGCATATCGACAGCTGAGTGGAAGATGAACTTACATATGTATGTATCTTGGCAGCCGGTTCGAAAACGGCCCATCTCAGAAAAAAAGANGAAGATGGACTTACGTATGTATCTTGGCAGCCGGTTCGAAAACGGCCCATCTCAGAAAAAAAGAATCAAGAACCCCCTACTTCAGAATTTGGTTGAAAAACGCCTCATCTCAGCTGCCAATTTTGAGATAGGGCGTTTTCGAACTGGCAGCCAAGATAGATCGATCTTCCCCTCAGATGTAGATTTATTTTATATATGTACATTTCTATATGCGTACCCGTCCGGTCAAATTAGACCAAAAATAGGACTGAAATTACAAAAATTCCCACCCAGCTGAAAATTGGTAGGATTGTTCAAAACACCATCATAAATGAAATATAGAAAGTCCTCATCGATCCGATAGCTGGAAAAAAAGTGAACTCGGGGTTTTCGGGATTTTCAGCAAAACAGTAAGTTTATCATAAAATTAGTTTACACAAAAATTGTAAATGAGATAATTATCTATAAAAAATGTTTAAATACTTTTTGTCGTAAGAGCCAACGCTTCCGAGATATAACGATTCAAAAAGTTGGAAGAATTGTAAAAGTCATAATATGCACACGTTTCCACGGCACCTTTGTTGTACTTATACATATTATGCCGATTACAACTCTTCCAACTATTTGAATCGTTATATCTCGGAGAAATCTGAGCTTTTGTGACCTTTGACCCCGAGTAACTTTTTTTCCAGGTATCGGATCGATGAGGACTTTTTAGATTTCCTACCAATTTTCAGCTGGGTGGGAATTTTCGTAACCTCGAATGTCTAAATTGACTGGACTATGTATATTTAAGCAAAAATATTAATAGCTGAAGACTCAATGAGAATTGTGAAATTTGATATTTTCCAAGATAGGTTAGAAAGCGATATTTTATGTTGTTCATTTGTGGAACTGAAATACATACTTATCCGTAAATAAGAGTACTTATATACATACAAATATATGCAAATAGCACATATGTACCTATTTTTACGATTGAAACAAGTAAATTAAAACAACAATACATAAAGATGACAATTGAAGAGATAGCATCGTTTTTACAAAGAAATTTAGTATAGTTGATATGAGTAGATATTTATGACCAGGGAGGAGATTTTATGGAAATTGCCTTTTTTCTGCTAAATAGCTGGAGTATACTCGATTAAGAATGTCCACGATTTAGCTTTCCCTGATTAAAAATATACACATTGATGTTGCATTTTTTTGCCTTTTTTAAGATATTTGACTTTTTTTGCCTATTGCACCTTTATAAAAAGCAATTGTAGCGTGGAGAAAGCCCTTATTCCTAATAATATAAAAGTTTCAAACGTTCCATATGGCAATTGCAGCCCACGTTTAGTACATTCAAGGCTGTGTTAAAGCCTTTACTGTTACAAAAACATCAAGTTGATAATGAAGAAAGTCGATCGCATGGCGTTAAGACGCCAAAATTGAGTTTAATATTTTAAACAGATGGCAACACTATTCACAAACCTTAATAAATATTGCAAATGTTTCAAGTACATTCGTCCATCCCTTTTTGAACGAAGACAGGTCTCAAATGGCGTCGGTTTTTCATTTGCTCAAAATTCAAACCACCGTGCACCGCTAAAAAAAGGTCGTAACTTCAAAAAATAAAACCTTAATGCACATTTAGAATGACGCTGCTGATCTGATGATCTTCACATTAAAGATCTGATGACCATAACAAAAAAATTATTTATTTATAAAAATTAACTCAAACTAATTTTTTCGGTATATTATGGGTCTATTCGAAAGAACATGGGAATTATACATTAATTATGGAACCCGATTTTATCATGTGACTGTCTTCGCAGTAGCGCATCCTGTTATCCGAGTTCTCCAAGACAATAAGAGATCTATCGTAAGAAATGCCCGACATACGTCTTAAAGGCCTGAATCGTTAATAGATTGTTCGCATTATATCGGTCCTTCACGGCATGGCACAAGAAAGTCTGAGGGCGTGAAATCGCGGCTCCGAGGGGGCCAATTGACTTCATCGAGACAGCTGATAACACAATTACCGAACTTTATCGCTCAAAATAAAAATCGAATAGATGGCAACCCTAACAAAAAATATTTTCAAACTAAAGTTTTATTGAAACTCTTTCTTTTGCCACTCATATTTTAATATTTCATTAAAATTGTGTAAATGCTAAATACATTAGGCTTTTCAAACAGGTGGCAACCTTCTGCGAAGCATTTTCAAACTGAAATCTTTTAAAGCTCTTTCGTCTGATACTTTGATACATAATTCAATTACCTGAAGAATTAAATTGAATTAAATTTTTTTATCACCTGGCAACTCTCCTAAATAGTTCAGATATAAATCATTCTCAAACCCATGAACGATTAAATCACCTCTTTTAGTAATTTATTTAATTTAATAATTCGTTTAAATTTAAAATTTTCAACAGCTAGCAACTCTCTTCAAACCATCAAATAAAATTTTGATGTTTAAACTAAAGATTTCTTAGCACTCTTTCGCTTAACACCTATATTTTAATACTGCATATAACTAAATTCGGCCTTTAAAGCAGGTGGCAACCCTTTTCAAAACATTTTCACATTACTACCTTTTTAAACTCCTTTAGACTGGACCCCTGTGGGGGAACATTTTGTAAATTACCTATGTAATTTCCCTATTTAAAATTTAATTTGATTTTTTAAACAGGAGCAACACTCTCACAGTTAAGAAGCAAAGCTTTTAATAACCATTTCGACTGATACCTATGGCAGCTCTTTCCAAAAGGTAAAACCTCATTGCACATCTGCAACCAAGCCTTTTAATTTGACACCTCATTTTTGAAAATCGAGCGAAGGATGGGGATATGATGGGGTATTGATTAATAAATAATCTCAACTTGATTTTTTAAAAGGTGGCCATTCTTTCCGGAAAAGTTAAATCCTACTGCACATCTAAATATCAAGCCCTTTAATTTGATGCCTCATTTTTGAAAATCAAACGAATGGTTCAGATCTGATGACCTGTACAAAAAGCCCTTTCGCGTATTATATATATAGATATAGTTAAATTCGACTTTTTAAACAGGTGTCAGCCCTTTTTAAAAGTAGTTTCTCGCTAAGATATTCTAAAATATTCTTCGTCTAACATTGCGATACATATTTTAATCAACTGATGAATTCAGTTCAATTATATTAATTAAACATGTGGCAACTCCGCTAAATATAGTTCAGAAATAAACATTTTTCAACCCCCCTTCGATTGATACTCATTTTTCGTTTTGGAAAAGTATACATTTTCAATATTTTCTAGTTCGACGTTATGGAATAATATTCATTGCATGTATGCAAAGCAATTGAAGTTTTGGAAATCAGCCTGTATGTGCTTCTCTCTTGACCACCGGTGCCCTATTCTCCTATTCCTCCTGCCTCATACTCCATAAGAAGGTGTAAAGGAGTATCCTTGGCAGCGTCGCGAAAGCGACACAGGTAACTGGACCAAATTCCCAATTTATATAGGTGCCCTATTAGCCTGCAGTGGCCAGTCAAAAAACCTGTAACGATTCTTAGTTTGTCCTTGGGAGATCTATGAGTAACCTATATATTTTCAGATTGTACCCTCCATTGTGTTGCGCCAGTGTGGTTTTTTTCCTTTCTGAGCACTTTATTTATGGTGTTGGGTCCCACTGCAAGGAAGGGCTCAGTTCCTATCGGGGTCGGTCGAGGCTGCAACCGTTCTGGCCAACTGATCAGTATCCTCAGTTCCTTCGACCCTCATGTTCCCTGGTAGACAAATCAGTTGACTATCAGTAACCTCAGCCAGAGCATTAATCCTCTCTACACACTCCTAAACCAAGGAGGAGCACGAATGATTAGAGAGCCTTAATGCGAATGCTAATCTCAGAACACAGACTGATGGCATAGACCTCCGCTCCGAAAGATGGTAGGGAAGGTTCCAGGGGCACCGAGAGCTTCAGTCTGGGGTTATATACGCCTGTTCCTGCCACCGAATGATACAAATTGAAAAATTCGATGCCTTTCGAAGGTCAAAACAAATCTTACTGCCCCTATAATCAGCACGAGAAACCACCATTAATTAACGTTAACGTCTGCTATCCATACAATTCTAATCATTAGGTATCTATCATTTTCATTTACATCAAAACCATCTCAAATGTGCGGAAAAAATGCTTCACACCTTTTTCAATGCAATGAATTTTGCTTCGCAGAAATTTTACCCTTTCATGACTTCGAAAACAAATAGTAAAGTAGAAATAAAAGTGCGAAAGAGCAGACTTGCGAGTACATTTTTCTTGGCAAACAAAATGGTAATGTTATGGCGGAACTTGTGCAAAAATTTGCTAGGAAGAGACGAGACGCATGAAGAATCAGTTGGTTGATTGTCAGGCACTAGTTTAGTTAAAGCGTTGTCCGTTACATACTATCTGAAGGCGAGATGCAGTGAAATATTGACTCATGGCAACAGAAGGTGGCGAGTAAAAGCTGGAAAGTAAGTGAAAACTTATGTAAATGAAATGGAAGCGCATTGAGTTAATTAGAGTTAACTGCTGATCTTTGTTTTTCATTGTGTGAAATTTGTTTGTTGTTGGTATTTACTACATGAAAATGATACGTATGTACCAGCAAATATTTGTTTTTAAATAAATCTAAGCTCATTAAAAGTGTTTAGTACACCAATATGT